ATGGCTCAGAGCCTGGAGCCTGTTTCTGATTCTGTGTCTCCCTCTCTCTCTGCCCCTCCCCCCTTCATGCTCTGTCTCTCTCTGTCCCAAAAATAAATAAATGTTGAAAAAAAAAATTAAAAAAAAAAAAAGTATTCCCATTTTATAGAAGAGAAAGCACAGGCTCAGGCAGGCTTGGTGTGTTGTTCAAGGTTATATATATAGTGTACCTATAAAAGGCCAGCTTCTTGACCCAAGTACTTTAATATTAAATTCAGTACATTTTCTACTACACCACAAATAACTGAATATTATGACAGTACTGGTAATATACTTCAACTGAAGCCACTAGTCTATAAAAGTGCAGTGAGCATATTTACCTTAGAGAAAAAACACTAACACAAGATGAGATGAAATGAACAGCTAACTTATATATAAACTTAAGTTATATATAAACTGAAGTTTATATATAAAAAAGTACTACCAATTTTAGCTAACAATTTATATCCCATGTTATTAAAGATATCAGTACAACAGCTATAAGTTTCATATTCTGAGAAGGGACATAAGCTACATCTTTTGTATTCCTCTCTCTACCAACCACTTGCATATCAACTGGAATTTGCAGGCCCTCCATAAACACAGACTAGCTACAAGTCCGTCAGAGACTGACTCACAGAAGAGGCAAGAGTTGGAAATTATTTCTTAATTGTTGTTGACAATGTTTATACAACACGTACTAAAAACTAGCCAATACTTTCAGATAAAAACTTTGATCCAGTTTTCAATGAAGTCAGTATCTGGTTCTAAATAACCTAATGGGAAAGGCCTAGAAGCAAAGCCAGAAAGCCCATTTAGGAAAAAAAAGTAACAGTCTTCATGTAGCCTCTGAAGGTTCCTCACATGAATGTGATGGACTTGGTGTTTACCAGGCACAGAATATATAGCTTGGATTTTTTAGACAAAGATTCTTTGAAATCCTAAATTCATCTTTAGACATAAGTACTTCTATATTCTTTCTCCGGCCCACCTTTTCACCCCAGAAGAAGCCAAGTAAATGTCTTCTTCACAACAGCTTAGTTACAGTATGTCCAAAGCAGATGACAAATCATACCACTAGCATATACTTCATTATACACCTATTTAGTTCAAAATATAAATTTAATAACCCATTTGCTCAAATGCAAAGTTAAAAGATTTTTTTTAGAAAATAAGAACATCTGGGGCGCCTGGGTGGCGCAGTCGGTTAAGCGTCCGACTTCAGCCAGGTCACGATCTCGCGGTCCGTGAGTTTGAGCCCCGCGTCGGGCTCTGGGCTGATGGCTCGGAGCCTGGAGCCTGTTTCCGATTCTGTGTCTCCCTCTCTCTGCCCCTCCCCCGTTCATGCTCTGTCTCTCTCTGTCCCAAAAATAAATAAACGTTGAAAAAATTAAAAAAAAAAAAAAAGAAAAAGAAAATAAGAACATCAACTGCATTGTGACTTGCAATGCAAGTTTAAACATAAGCCAGAAAAAGTGAATATTATTATATACTTTACTAAAATTATTCAGGTGATTAATTTACATTGAAATATTTGGGTATATGCCATCAAAACACTTAGATATACAATCAGTCTATTACAGACCTTTGCATTTTATCAGGTCAAGTAAGAAATCTGACTATAAAATTTTTTGTCAGCAAGGTTTTAGTTGATCTAAGTCAGAACATGCTAAATTATATATACATACATAGAATTTTGTAGTAAGGCATCTCTAAGATTATCTATGTAATCACTTTATTGTATCAATGAAAAAATTGAGGTCCACAAAACAGAGATGGCACCAGAACCTGACCTCCAGGCAGTATTCTTTTTACTTACCAAGCTGCCGCTTTCCTAAAACTACTAAGAAGAGTTAGGCCACTGCTTCTGCACAGCATTTCTTGATCTTTACTCTAAAATTCTTAAGGTAACTTCTATGCCCAGGACCTCATGAGAGCTATAAAGTAACCAGAGGAAAACAGTTTGAAGGTTCCTCAAAAAGCTAAACACAGAATTACCATATGACCCAGCAATCCTACAATTAGATGTATACTCAAAACAACTAAAAACAGACTCAAACAGATACTTGTATGTGAATGTTCATAGCAGCATTATTCACAATAGGCAAAAGGTGAAAACAAACCAACCTAATACCCACCAGCAGATAAATGGATAAACAAAATGTTCATGGAAGATTACTGGAATATTTTTCAGCCATAGAAAGAAATGAAATTCTAATACATGCTACAACATAAATGAAATCTGAAATCATGCTAAATGAAATAAGACACAAAAGGGCAAATATTATATGATTCCACCTCCTTGAAATACCTAGCATAGGCAAGAATCACAGAGACATAAAGTACACAGAGATTACCAGAAACAGGGGTGGGGGTTAGGCAATGGAGAGTTATCACTTAATGGGTATACAGTTTCAGTTTGGGGTGATGAAAATTTTGGACAATAGATAGTGGTGATGGTTGCATGACACTGTAAATGTAATTAATACCACTGAATTGTACACTCAAAAATGGTTGAAATGGCAGATTTTATTAGATTTTATACCATAATAAAAAAGTTATTAGAAAGTTATCACCTTGACAGAAGCCTTCACATAATTCTCCATCTTCAAAAAACTTAAGTTCTAGAATCTTGTGGTCTTGACAATTATAAAAAATAAATAGTTCACATAATGTTAAAGAAATATAATAGGGGAAACCAAGTACAAGATTTATAGGAATTCTCTGTAGTTTCTTTGCAAATTTTCTGTAAAGCTAAAACTGTTCTAAAAAGTAAAAGTTAGGGGCGCCTGGGTGGCTCAGTTGGGTAAGTGCCTGACTTCAGCTCAGGTCATGATCTTGTGGTTTGTGGGTTTGAAACCCACATCAGGCTCTGTGTTGACAGCTCAGAGCCTGGTGCCTACTTCAGATTCTGTGTCTCCCTCTCTCTCTCTGTCCCTCCCCTGCTCACACTGTCTCTCTCTCAAAAATAAGTAAACGTTAAAAAAAATTTTTTTAAGATAAAAAAAAAGCAACCAGAGTTGTAAAGTTCAGCCCAAGTTACACAAAGACTCTTTGAAGTACTTTCTAAAGTTATAAGACTTTTAGTGGCACTAATAATATGGAAAAAGAAAGTACCTGTAAGAAAATAATAAATTTACTATTCATCCAACCTAACCAGAGACCCTCTAAGTAACCTCACTTCAAGGAAATGGAGGGGACACCTGAGTGGTTCAGTCGGTTACACAACTGACTCTTGGTTTTCGGCTCAGGTCATGATCTCACTGAGATTGAGCCCCATGTTGGGCTCTGCACTGACAGCTCAGAGCCTGCTTGGGATTCTCTCTCTCTCTGCCCCTCCCCAGCTCATCCACATGCTCTCTCTAAAATAAACTTTAAAAAAACAAAAAAGGAAATGGAATACATTCTTCTGTCCCAAACACTATTTCCCAAATTCCTTTTCAGACTAAGTTCAGTTAATATTAATATAGAATGATATTAGATTAAGTCATTCAAATGTTCTTTTGTACAAGATTTTAGTGCTCGATTATCTTTGGCCCTAAAGTGAACACAAGGACAGAATATGTATGCTAAATGATCAATTCTCCATTTTATTTAATTTACAATGTCTTATGTTCTCTGACATTTGTGTGCATGTTTATCACATCTGAAACTATACATGAGAAAATAAATTAGCTTTTACATGAGAGAACCAAAAATACAATTAGAATAAAAATAGAAATTTAGAATAGTTTTCTTCTTTCCAAGTTAGCACACAAAGATAGCTACAACAAAGCAACAAAGATCTGTCTACTCTAATTGATTTTCATGCCAGTTGTTAAATTAGATTGACTGCCTACAAGACATGTCAGTTTATCATAACAGTGGCATGCTTTTAAACAGTTATACATGTAAAAAGAGCTCAAGACTCTCCAAAAGTTAAAAATTTCAACCTCATATATAAAATAGTAATGAATAAAAAACTTCACTGATCTTGGTCTTTGAGAATAAATGTTTAAAGAAATCAGTCTAATAAAAATCAGAAAATAAGCTAAGAAAATAAATCAAAGCTATAATTTGAACTCAAAGATGTAATTAGAACTAATTTTTACCAATTAAGTTTTTAACTGTTGCACAACTGAACAATTTATACATATTAACCTCAGTTTATAAATTCTACAACTTCTCCTTTGTCATTTTAAGCTTCACTGTAAGGACTCTGATCATCCTGGCCACGTAATTACCTTTAAGAAGCATGCTTAGGGTGTTTTCTGGACTGCAGGTCCATACAGCATTTCTCTTTGCCCTCTTGGGAATAGAACATCAATTGCTTTCAGCTAAATGCACTCACATATGAATATTTTAGTACAATTTAATGCTTCTATACCAACCCCAAAGGAATAGAGCATCAATTTGTGAACACAGTTCTCTCGGAGTTAAAAGCCAAGCTGGATAATGCAGTATGAAAGGGCTTGTCAATCTTTAGCTTTTTAGCAAGTCAGAAAAGCAGTCCATAAATTCAGTCCCAGCTGTATACAAATAACTCTATATAAAGTTTGCTCCTACACAGACTTTTTCAGCATAAGTGAATTTTCAAAACAAAACCCCCAAAACAAAATTTCTTGTTTTGGTAAATTCCCCCAAACTGCTTCTTCACCTAGTAACTATTCCCCTACTCTCAGAGTTATAAACAGACCACTGATCTGTTAGTAAAATACCAAAATACAAAGTAATCTACTTCCACTAAGAAGTTGCACTAAGTGTAAAAACATATTTCCCTGGCAGTAGATAACAGATTCTTTAATGATTGCAATAAGCCTATATGTTTGGATGGATAGGACGTAAAGTCAAACAGAGCTTCTAAAAGGCAATTCAGAGAAAAACGTAAAACGGGAAGTACCAATAAATATGCCAAGCCTTAAAAAGCCAAATTAAATTCTAGTCATAGTTTAAGTCTGACACTCTACTAAGCTCAACAAATATTAATTAATGTCCTAACAAAATCCAATGAGACTGCCAAATATGAGTTATAGAAATAAGATTTCAATATCTGTTCATGATTTCAAAACAAAAAATCTCTTAGCAAACAAGGATTTATAATTACAAAAATAGCCAACACATAGCACTTGTACTATATGTGAGGTATGGTTTTAAGTGTTTTACATATTACTTATTCTATCTTTACTATTTACCATGAGATAGAGACTATTATCACCATTATACAGTTGAGAAAACTGTGGTACACAGAAGTGATTTGTCCAAGGTTATACAAGCAAGCAAGCAAGTAAGCAATAATTATATGACACTACTATAGAAAACTTCTGTTTCTTGTTTTTCTTAATCTGATAAAACAGATTGCAAACATCATACCTAGTGGTGAAACCTAGAAGAAATTCCTGGAAAATAAGGGACAGGGTATTTACTATCACCACTTCTATTAACAATGTCCAGGTTAATAGCTGACACAGCACCAAAAAAAAAAAAAAAAAAAAAAAAAAAAAAAAAAAAATCAAACAAAAGGATAAGACAAAATTTCATTATTTCCAGAAGACAAGACATGACTATGCATGTACAACACCCAAGAATCTACAGATAAGTTAATGAAAGCAATATATAAACATCAATAGCATTCCTTATTTATCTGTATACATTTATAAAGAAATTATAAAACTATTTGAATGGAGAAATAAAATCATGGTGTTGTATAGAAGACAAAATATTGCAAAGATGTCAACTCACCCCAATTAAATCTATGCATCCATAAGTTCACTTGAATTTTTGCTGCCTGAATATTTGTTACAACTTGTACTTTTTAAATCCAGAACTCACTATTCAAATAAATTTTTTTACAGAATAATAATGAATTTGCATGAGTGCACATGTAAAGTGCTTATGAATCTCAGAGACTTTTGTGTCCACTCAACAGTTGTATCTCAGCTATTTGACAGGATCATATCTTATGTTCACACTGTATAACTACAATTAATGGGAACACAAAGAGATATCCATTTTGAGATTTTTTTAATCTTGTTGCTTACCTGGCTTTGGACAATGATTCACAGCATCTATTTCTGGAGTCTTAGGAGACAAGAAAACTGTCCATCACCTCTCAGCATCTGAATGTGAGCCCCTTTACCAACTCCTCCCATGCACCCTGACTCACCACTGAATTCTCCTAATTCTCATGACCAAATCTCACCTGGGCAAGTCCTCAATCAGTATATTATATGGCGTTGGTTATTAACTAAGAATTATCTGCCTTTAGCAAATCTTTCATTATTTATTCATATAACAATTCATACATGTTTGGAGCAATGCAGAAGAAATATTTGATACCATCCAGTATCACTGCCTTCTGTCCAGAAACATTCTAAATAATGAGTTTAGTAAGTGTGAAACAACTAAGTAATTGGTGTTTTAAATATTTTATATTATGTCGAAAACCTTGGTGAATTCTTATCATTTAAGCTTCTCTGAATTTTCAATAACTACACAATAGCAAGAATCACACTAAATTTGGGCAAAACAACCTACATTTCCAATCAAAACTTCAACTGTGGAGTTTGACAAACTAATTCTAAAACTGCAAGAGAAAGGCAGAGAGCCAAGAACAGCTAAGACCATTCTGGAGAAGAATGGGGAAAAAGGGATACTGCCCAACTACATAATTTTATTACTAAAGCTTTAGATACAGTACAGATACAATGATAAACCACTGACTGACAGAACAGAACAGAGAGCCCAGAAATAGACTTGTGTGCTATATAAACTTGTAAGAGGTAACACTAGAGATCAGTGGAGGAGGAGATTAGTCATACAAGGAAAAAACTGAACACCTACTTCACACCAAACATCAAAATAAAACCAAGTAGAGGCGCCTAGGTGGCTCTGTCAGCTGGGCGTCCGACTTCAGCTCAGGTCACGATCTCACAGTCCGTGAATTCAAGCCCCGTGTTGGGCTCTGTGCTGACCGCTCAGAGCCTGGAGCCTGCTTTGGATTCTATGTCTCCCTCTCTCTCTGCCCCTCCCCTGATCATGCTCTGTCTCTCTCTGTCTCAAAAATAAATAAAAACATTAAAAAATTTTTTTTAATAAAAAATAAAATAAAACCAAGTAGATTATAAACTAAAATGTGAAAAGCAAATTTTAAAAGTTTTCAAAACACATACAGGTGAGTATCATAAGACCTTGTCTTAGGAAATATATTTTTTTAATGTTTATTTACTTTTGAGAGAGACAGACAGAGAACGAGCAGGGGAGGGGCAGAGAGAGAGGAAGACACACAATCCAAAGCAGGCTCCAAGCTCCGAGCTGTCAGCACAGAGCCCCATGCGGGGCTTGAACCCATGAACTGTGAGATCATGACCTGAGCCAAAGTTGAACGCTTAACCGACTGAGCCACCCAGCCCCTCCAGGAAATACTTCTTTTTAAAAAAAAATCTTTTTTTTTTTAACATTTATTTATTTTTGAGACAGAGAGAGACAGAGCATGAACGGGGGAGGGTCAGAGAGAGAGGAAGACACAGAATCTGAAACAGGCTCCAGGCTCTGAGCTGTCAGCAGAGCCCAACGCGGGGCTTGAACTCACGGACTGCGAGATCATGACCTGAGCTGAAGTCAGATGCTTAACTGACTGAGCCACCCAGGCGCCCCAAAATAGTTCTTAAACACAATACAGACAGTAGATACCAAAAAAGAAAACAGTAAGTTGAACCACATTAAAATTAAAAGCTTCTGTTTATCAAAAGATATAAAGAAAAAGACGGCTAAAAACTGAGAACATGTATGCGACACACATAACCAAAAGATTAGTATCCAAAAGATATTAAAAACTTCCAAGAGTTGATAAGAACAATTCAATAGAAAAATGGGCAAAAAGATAGGAACAGGAAATTCAGAGAGAAAAAAAAAATTAATGGAATTTAGAATATAAAGATACCTCACTAGTATCAGGGAAAAGCAAATAAAAAACTGAGATTCATGCCCATTAGACTAGCAAAGCTTTTTTTAAAACAATTGTGGCAAAGTATACATAACATAAAATTTACCATTTTAATCACTGCTAAGCATAGTTCTGTGGCATTAAGTATACTTGCCTTGTCGTGCAAACCATCACTGCTATCTCCAGAACTACCATCTATCTCCAGAACCACAAAACTTTAAAAAACCAAAAATACCAAAGTTCAAAGAGGATGGGAGAAGGTAAGTTTTATAAACTGCTGGTAAGTGTAAACACCCACTTTGGTGAACACTTCATTTCTGGTAATCGAGCAGTTTCACTCTCAGGCACACATCTCTGGGGAAACATTAACATACAAGGAGCCAGAAGAATCTTCAAGGAACAGTATTTATAACAGCAGAAATTATAGACTACCTAAATAAGCATCCATTAGTAGGAAAATGGGTGAAGTGTGATATATTTATATAACAGAATACCATACATCAATGAAACACAAATGAAAAACCTTCACCTGAATTAAAATGGAAGAATCTCAAACATGAGACTTAAAAACATAAAGAACGCATACAGTATGCTGTTGATAGAATGTTTTCAAAATGTATACAAAACGATATTACCTATCAGTGTTTCTCAACTTTTTTACAACATGGCACACAGAAAATGGTACCATTTGTATGGTGCACTGGGCTACAAAACCAGCTAGTCATGTCTCCTGTTCCAAAGGCTGAGAGGATCAACATCTCGTCACACTTGTAAATCATTCATAGTACTCAAGTTGAAAAGTTCAGCTACAGACTGTTTAGGGAACTGTAGATACACAGTAAAAGTGAGATGTATGAAATCACCATCACCAAATTTAGGGTAATGGTTACTTTTTGAGAGAAGGGAAGCATATATATTAAAGAAAGAGTACACAGGGGTTTCAACTGTATTATAATATTTTTTAATTTAGTAGTAAAAAACAAAGGTGTTTACTATATTATTTTTATATATGCATATTAAAAAAATTTTTTTTTCCAACGTTTATTTATTTTTGGGACAGAGAGAGACAGAGCATGAACGGGGGAGGGGCAGAGAGAGAGGGAGACACAGAATCGGAAACAGGCTCCAGGCTCCGAGCCATCAGCCCAGAGCCCGACGCGGGGCTCAAACTCACGGACCGCGAAATCGTGACCTGGCTGAAGTCGGACGCTCAACCGACTGCGCCACCCAGGCGCCCCTATATATGCATATTTTAAAAATGAATAGAAAAGAATGGGAAGCAAAGTGGATTTAGCAAATGTAAGCTACTTTTTTAAGCTTAGCCTGACAAGAGAGATGAAATGGGTGATAGCTTAGTGGGGAAAAGAGGCTGTTGGGAAGACAAAGGATTTTTTTTTTTTTTAACTTTTTAAAAAATTTTTTGAGAGACAGAGAGAGACAGAGCGTGAGCAGGGGAGGGGCAGACAGAGAGGGAGACACAGAATACAAAGCAGGCTCCAGGCTCTGAGCTGTAAGCACAGAACCCAATGCAGGGCTCAAACTCACGAATGTAAGATCATGAGCTGAACCAAAGTCTGATGGTCAGCCGACTGCACCACCCAGGAGCCCTGAATTTTCTTTTTTAAGATTATAAAAAGGAGGGGCGCCTGGGTGGCTCAGTCTATTAAGCATCCAACTAATGATTTCAGCTCGTCATGATCTCACATTTTGTGGGTTCGAGCACCACATGGGGCTCTGAGCTGACAGGCAGAGACTGTTTGGGATTCTCTTTCTTGCTCTCTCTGCCCCTTCTGACCCCCTCTCTCAAAAATGAATAAAAATTAAAAAAAAAAAGATTATGAAAATGAGCCAGTAGAGACAGAGAGGTTCTGAATCCAGACCATGGGAGTAAATAATGGACTATCCTGAAGGAGGTAGGAATTTATGGAATCCAAGGACAGGTTAGAGAGATTAGCATTAAATTAGAAAGGGTTCACCTCTTTCTTTGATGTATAAAGGTAAGTTGTATTGTTTTGCTTTTATAGGGAGAACAACTTGACTTCTGAAGTAGAAGGAGAAAGATCAGTGCCTGAGAATAGGGGAAATAATACTAAATAAAGAGCTTGAAAAATTGGTACAACATAATATTGATATACACTAACAGAGGGCAAAATCAAAATTCATTTCAGGTAGATCTATTTGTGGAAAACTATATGAGGCTATGCAATCCAGTTTTTCATGGACAAGTGATTTTTTAAAATGTGCTCAGGGCTTTAGTTATTCTGCAGAGGGGCCATAGAGACCTTTTCAGGAAAAAGAAAAAGGAAAGGGCTATGTTAGCAGCCCTCTTGGTTATACCACCCCACTTCATTTCCACTTTCCCTGCTACTCATGGGGCTTCCTGAGAAGATTTCATCTGAAGAAGAGTTCTACAACTAAATCACTACTCTGAAATTTTATCCTGGGAAAACCACACCAGCAAGCCCCAAACCAAATAATTCTGGCTCCTTACAGAACTGTACCTAAAATATTAGGCAACTGGCTGACACTGAGGGACATTATTAAAAAAACACCCTATGAAACCACTGTCCTATTTATAGTAAAAGTATTGTTGAGGATGTTAATCAATAGTGTCCTCTTTATGAGGGCTCAAGGGATAAATATCTCTCTCTGATCTTGATAACAGGCCAAATTATGCTTCCCATGTGCAATTAGTTTATTTTTACCTTAGGGACACTGTAAATCAGGACACTGATCTTGTTTCCCAATATGAACTGGCTCCTAGAAAGCCTAGTGCCAAACTTACAGACTAGCTCTAGCAAATGGACAGAATAAAATTTATTTTCTTACATATCTCCAAACTCTATCTTCCACCTAAGTTATCTCAAGACCAAAATGCCACCCAGCACCTCCCTGCAAGAGACAAAAGGCAGAGTTTGGCTACATGTAAAGGGGTGGGGAACAGGAGTAAGAAAGCCCCAGCCCTGAGGTCTGGGTACAGAGGGCCTGCCTAAGACTGAGGCTAAATAAGAAGTGAGAGTTATTCCTTACTACAACCATGAGACTAAAGGCTAAAGAGCTATAGCAACTAAATGCAATACTTGACCCTAAACTGGATTCCATATGGAGATGGGACAGTAGTATAATGAAGGTTACTAAGCTAAATGATAAAGTTGGAATATCCCATTATAATATAGAAACTTGGAATTAGAATTTAAGCTGACAAAATCCAAATATACTTTATACTTTGGTTATATAAAAAAATATTTCTTTCTTAGGAAATACACACTGAAATATTTAGGGGTCATGATGTTACTGTCGCATGTTCAGGGAAAATTTGTGTATATATGTGTATATACATATGTACTGTACTATTCTTTTTATTTTTTTAATGTTTACTCATTTTTGAGAGACAGAGCATGAGTGGGAGAGGAGCAGAGAGAAGAGAGGGAGACACAGAATCCGAAGCAGGCTCCAGGCTCTGAGCTGTCAACACAGAGCCCGATGCAGGGCTCAAACCCACCAACTGTGAGATCACAACCTGAGCCAAAGTCGGACGCTTAACCAACTGAACCACCCAGGCACCCCTATACTGTACTATTTTTAATTTTCAACTTTTTCTAAGTTTGAAATTACTTCCAAATATAAAGTTAATTAAAAAAATAAAGAGGAATATGGAAGTCTTAGTTGCAACAGTAAGCTGAACCAGTGGTTCCCTATCCCTCGGTCTAAATTCTTAATTCTTGCAGGAAGCATGAATCCATAAACATGCGAGACACACACACACACACACACACACACACACACACACTCAATAATCTTCCATATCTATATGGTATAAACTGCTGTGAATGATAAAATAAAAATGTATTTAATAGTACAACTAAATTCATGGCATTTTCTGGGCATTTTACATTTTCTCAAATAATCAAAAACAAAAGTAAAAGTGTTTTGTGAGGATAACAAAATTTGACTTTGTGTCCCCTTACCT